AAATGTTTCATTAGGAGTTAATCACATAATACCAGGAATTTGCGATTCCCTCTGTACACCATAGTTTGCACTGCTCCCATAATAATAATAATAATAATAATAATTCTTGCATTTGATATAATGCTTTTCATGTCTTCTCGACATCTCAAAGCGCTTCACAGAATAGACTGTAAATAGTAATAGTACTGATGTACTGATGTAGTGGGGGGATATATAAACAGATATCAGAGAACAATGTAGCAAAAGCAATGTGGTTGTAATGGGAGATTTTAATTTTCATATAGACTGAGAGAAGCAGAATAGCTCCAGTAGTAAAGGCAGTGAGTGGCTAGAATGTATTCAGGACAGTTTTCTGGAACAATATGTCTTAGAACCGACAAGGATATAAGTCATTCTAGATTTGGTGATGAGTAACAAACCAGAATTAGTTAATAATCTGATGATAAGGGAACATCTTGCAAATAGTGACCATAATATGATTGAATTTGATATAAAGTTTGAGATGGAGAGTCGCAAACCAAGATGGTAAATTTAAGCAAGGCAAACTTCAAAGGGATGAAAATCAATTAACTGTTAATGGGTAAACCCACAGACACACAGTCTGAAGTATCCAAAGAAGAATTTGGTACAAAACAAAACCAGGCCATCCCCTAAACACAAAAGCTCCACTTGTGGAGTTCAACAAACACGGTCGACAAATGATGTGAGAGACAGCAACAAACTGAAAGAAAAAGCTGACACTAATGCAAGAAAAGTAGAAATCCAGTGGCCTGGGAGTCTTATGAAAAGCAACACAGAGACACAAAGAAAGTAGTAAGAGATGCAAAAAGGGAATATGAAAAAAGCTGGCAATGGATATCAAGGGCAACAGTAAAGGTTTTATAAATATATTAAGAGAAAGAGAATGGTGAAGGGGAATGTGGGCCCGTTAAAGACCGATGCAGGTGAGACTATAATGGACAACAAGGAAATGGAGGCTTGTTGAGTGAATACTTTGCTTCCGTTTTCACAGTTGAGGAAGAGGACAAGATTCCAGCGGTACAAGGGAACCTAAAATAAACCAAAAAGAACTAAATCGATTTAATATAAATAAAAAAATGGTAATGGAGAAAATAAAGGGACTAAAGATTGACAAATCTCCAGATCCTGGTGGATTCCACTCCAGGGGATTACAAGAAATTGGGGAGGGAATTGCAGATGTGTTAGTCATAATTTTCCAAAGCTCTATATTCAGGAATTGTGCCCTCGGATTGGAGAATTGCATTTAAGAAGTGAGGGAGAGAGAAACCAGGTAACTACAGACCTGTCAGCTTAACCTCAGCTGTGGGGACATTACTGGAATCTCTCATCAGGGACAGAGTAACTGAGCACTTGGACAAATATGAGCTAATCAAAGAATCAGTGAGGATTTGTGAAGGTCATGATAAATCTAATTGAATTTTTTGAGGAGATCACTAACATGGTGGATAAGAGAGTGTCTGTGGATGTCGTTTACATGGACTTCCAGAGGCATTTGATAAGGTTCCACAAAAGAGGTTATTAGCAAAAATAAAATTGCATGAAATCAGAGTTAACTTTGTAAAGTGGCAGATAATTGGTTGGGAGGCAGGAAACAGAGAGGAGGGAGAAAAGTAAGTTTCTCTGATTGGTGGGATGTGACAAGTGGTGTCCCACGGGGGTCTACTTTTCACCATATATATATATATAAACGACTTGGATGAAGGAATAGAGAGTTTTATATTAAAATTGGCAGATGACACAAAGTTAGGAGGCACAGAAAATTGTGTAGATGGGACTGATACAAAGGGACGTAGATAGATTAAATGAGTGGGCAAAACTGTGGCAGATGGAATTCAAGGTGGGGAAGTGTGAGGTCATCCATTATAGATCTGAAAATAACAAAACAGAATATTTTCTAAATGGTGAGGAATTAGGAACTGTGGAGGAGCAAAGGGATTTGGGTGTCCACGTCCACAAATCACTAAAAACTAATTCACAGTCACAAAAAGTCATCAAAAAGGCTAATGGGATGTTGGCCTTTATCTCAATGGGGCTGGAATATAAAGGAGAGGAAATGATGCTTCAACGATACAGAGTCTTGGTCAGACCCCATCTGGAGTCTGCGTTCAGTTTTGGGCCCCACACCTCAGGAAGAATATATTGGCTCTGGAGGGGGAGCAGCGCAGGGTCACCAGAATGATACCAGGGCTTAAAGGGTTGAATTATGAGGAGTGTTTGCATAAACTTTCTATTGCCTTGTGTTAGAGTACCGGATTCGTTTGCAACCGAGTCTGCACCCAGGAAATAAGTTCAATCTTGGCAAACCAAAATGGCGGATTTTAACAGTTTATTAAGCATACAAATAATGTTGGTTATACAGAATTAATGCAATATAAAATAACAGAGCAATACTACCAGTCCTTCTGCAGTCTGCCCTAGAGAGATCTCTAAAGACCACGCCCTTTGCCCAAGCTTATATATCTTTTAATTTCTTTGTCTGCCTTATTTGGGCTGTTTCTCACTATTCTAGTGCTCAATCAGAACACTTTCTTATCTAAAAGTACAGAAAGAGGAGGCCAATCGGGGCATACAACTCCTTCTGGTTTAAACCAGTTTGTCTGGCATTTGGCCATCTTGGAGTTAACCTCTGGTAACCTTCTGCCGACCGCTGCAGTTTGTGTTACTTGTAAGACATATATACATTCTAATAGTCACCACCTTGAGACCAAAATAATGATAATAATGAGGTCTCACAAATACACCAAGAAAAATAAAGCAAATAAAAAAACAACATGAAGACACAATCATTGTAAATAACATTATGGCTTCGGCAATCATAAAAGGATGAGATATGAGTAATAAAGTTCAATGCAATTAATTAATCAGATTGGTACAGTGGCTGTGATTAGGAATCGACTTGTTAACGTGGTTCGATCAATGTTGATTGTAGAATATCTCTTCTTAAGATCGGTTAGACTTGTCTTCTTCGTTCCCAAACTTAGATCTTTTTTGTCACGTCACCAAGTCAGCAGCGAGACCTTCAACAGCTTGTTTTTACCATTCACTGTAGGGTTAAAAACGTATCCTTCAAGGTCGGTATACTCCTTTTATTCTTGGCAATATGTTACCAATGTCCTTGAGAGTTCATAGAATCAGTTCTATTTGAGCAAAACAAGTCCATGAGTCTTTGCGATATCCTTTTTGGTCAACTTAAGACAAACCAGAATTCTGGGTTTGCAAAATGTCCAGTCCCCACCTCGAGTGGGTCAAGCTGACAACACAGCCCAATATCACCGTCATAATCTTCACGATTCCCTTTTACCTCAGCCGCCACATCAATCCTTTCAACTACTATTAGCATCTGTAATTACAGCACTTCATTATCAATAATATCATGATTAACAAACAGTATGGTCACAGAAATTTGAAATATTATTTCAGTGGATGTTCTCTCTATCCTTGCCCGCTGGCTTTGAGCATTACTGAAATACTGGAACAGACAAAGTAAATGTTACATAAAATAAATCAGAACAATGACAACAACAACATGATTGCATTTATAGAGCGCCTTTCACGTCGGGAGGACGTCCCAAGGTGCTGGACAGTTGGGTCCGGACCCGAACAGGGGGGAATTGGTCAGGGGAGGGGAGGGAGCGAGGAGGGGGGAGAGTCGAGAGGGGAGGTGAAGGCACGGTTGAAGAGAAAGGTCTTGAGACCGGCCTTGAAGCAGGAAAGGGAAGGGCACTGGGGGATAGAGTTCCAGAGCCTCGGGGCTGAGAGGCTGAAAGCCCGGCCACCGCCACGGCAGTTAGGTAGTTTTTCACCCAAAGGGTGGTGGAAATTTGGAACTCTCTCCCTCAAAAAGCTGTGGATGTGGATCCATTCACATTTTCAAGATGGAGGTAGATAAATATTTGTTAGGTCAGAGTATTAAGGGATATGGGGCAAGGGCGGGTAACTGGACTTGAGGCATAGATCAACAACGATCATATAAAATGGCGGAACAGACTCAAGCGGCAAATAGCCTACTCCTGTTTCTATGTCTATGTAGAGTCTGTGTATAATAGACTCTACTCTGACACTAAGTCCTTGGAATGGACAGGAATTGGATGTGTGTGTGAGTGTGTGGGGGGTGGGGGGGTGGGGGAAGAGAAACATACTGTGTCGTAGACTTTAACAATGGGAAAGTGACTCACACTAAAAAAAAATCTAAATTATAAATCATTTTATTTATATTGAAAACTAATAAATAATCAGGTATAAAAAAAATAGTTACATAATCCGCTATATAAAAAAACACTTTTTAGTGTGAGTGTGAATCCTGGATTTGATGGTTTGATGTTCAGAATTCCTGGCCCCAGAATTCACATTAACAGCCGAATGGAAAGGCAGCGATGAAAAAAAAGTCAGATTCCAAAGGTAATTAAACACTGGGATCTCAACTTGGAGAAAGAGAACTGTGCATTCACAGGATCTGTATAACACTACACCACCAGCAACTCTCCGCTCAATGACAACTGCACTGCACATTGAGGCTTTGGCTGCAGAGTTCAAGACACGTCCCTATCTGAAAGTCTCATTGATGAGTCAGTCAGTGTCAGGAAACCAATATCTGATTTACTACAGAGATGTCTGGATTTGCCAGGTTCGTCTGCTAAGTCAGCTCATCTCAGGATGTCGCTGTTTAGAAGCGGTAATTCTTTTATCCATCTCTAAAAGTTCCTATGGGACCTTGAGGATCTAAGTGCTGAACTGACAAACATTTGGTCAGATTTCCAGCTAGACTTCGATGAAGAGAGATTCTTCTACAATTAACCGTCTATTTCCCATTGAATGAATGAATGAATCCCCATTTTTTATACATTCATCTTAAACATTACATTTTTGAAGATAGATACTGGATCATCTCCAGCCTCTGATCTCAGGTCAGGTTACTGAACCAACAACAACAGCAACTTTCACTTATATAGCGCCCTCCACGCAGGGCAGCGTCTCAGAGCATTTAACAGTGGTGGAGCCTGACTCTGAGCCGGGGGGAGTGGGGGAGGTAGTTGTAACCAAAGGGTTTCTGCAGAAATAGAGCAGGTCCAAGAGCTTTCTTGCCATCAGAAGGCTGCGAAAACTTGGGGTGCACGATCATCGGTCAATAAACTGCAGGTTAATGTCCGTCGCTGGCACCAGAAGTGTTCTTGTCATTGGCTTCACCACCGTGTCCTTGAACTCTGGCCTCACCTCAAAATGGGTTAGAATCTGAGAGAAAAGATGAGAGTATGAAATCCATGCCGTCAGAGGGCCCCAAGCCAGCAAAACCTTGCGCAAAGCTGGAAATCTGAATGTAACACACACAGTAGAAGTCAATCCAATGAAAAACAGAAAGACTGGCTTCTCCGATGCCTCAGTGAGTTTAATCAATGAGCAGCACAGACTTAGCCTCAGCCTTAGTCTCTACAATGCCTCAGCCCCCATTGTGTTGCTCTCCCCACTCTATAATCCCCCGCCATCTCCTGTGATATTCCCATTCATGCACATGGCTTTTGCTATATAGCTAACATATGTAGCCAATGTGTAACTCTAGCCAACCTTCAGGAGAGGCCAAGAAACCACAGAAGGAGAAAAGGGCCAAGAGAGATTCACACCCTATTCAATATTTCCACCATTGTGATTACAAGTTATACAACAACAAGATTCTATTTATAGAGCGCCTTTCACGTCGGGAGGACGTCCCAAAGTGCTGTACAGTTGGGTCAGGACCCGAGCATTGGGGGGAAATGGTCAGGGTGAGGGGAGGGAAGGGAGGGAGGGAGCGAGCGAGGAGGGAGTAGAGAGTCGAGACGGGAGCTGAAGGCACGGTCAACGTTATATTAATGTAAATTGTTGTTTTTGTTGTTGCTCAGGATCATAAAACAAATTCAACGTGGCACCATGTTTTGAAAATTTTTGAAAATTTATCTCAGCAAATATAAGGGTTTTGCCCCAATCCACAGCCCCAATCCCCTGTGCTGCACTCAACACAGGATTTCATAGAATCGTAAAATTATACAGCACAGAAAGAAGCCATTCGGCCCATCGTGTCTGTGCTGACACAGACACGATGGGCTGAATGGCTTCTTTCTGTGCTGTATAATTCTATGATTCTATGATGATTCTAAACTGCAAACTACCTTCATCCACCCTCTCTGTTACTTCATCAAAAAATTCTATCAGGTTTGTTAGACACAATTTACTTTTAACAATTCCATGTTGGCTGTCCTTTATTAGCCCATATCTTTCTAAGTGAAAATTTATTTTGTCCTGGATAATAGTCTCTAGACGTTTCCCCATTATTGATGTTTGGTCTGTAGTTCCCAGGTTTATCCTTCTGCCCCTTTTTGTACAGGGGAGTAACATTTGCAGCCCTCCAGTCCTCTGGCACCACCCTGCTATTTATAATAATAATAATCCTTGCATTTGATATAGCGCTTTTCATGTCTTCTAGTCGTCCCAAAGCGCTTCACAGAATATACTGAAAAGTGAATTGACTGTTTATTTGTGGGCGAACGCGGCAGCCAATTGCACACAGCAATGTCCCACAAACAGTCGTGGATTGAAAATGACCAATTTATATTATTGTTTTTTTTGGAGGGATTATTATTAGGCTCTGTGTGGAGTAAGGAAACTTGCCCGAGGTTTCGCCCAGCCTCCCTTACTTCGCTCATTAACCTAGGATGCATGCCCATCCGGATCTCTGCCTTGAGCACCTTTTTAGTACCTTCTCTCTGTTTATTCTTATCTTATCCAATTGCTCTCCCCTCTCCTCCGATACTGTGGCATTGGCTGCATCCTCTTCTTTTGTGAAGAAAGACGCAAAGTCCTCATTCAGTACGTCAGCCGTGCCCTCTGCCTCCACAAGAAGATTTCCCTCTTGGTCTTTAATTGGACCCACCCTGCCTTTGACTAAGCTTTTATTCTTTATATGCTTATAAAATACCTTAGGGTTCCCTTTAATGTTACCCACTAATCTTTTCTCATACAATCTAATCTCTTTGCTCATCATAGGTCATCATTGTTTTGCATTTCCACGTCCAGAGAGCAGGAGCCCGTTTACCGGGGGTAATAATACATAGAATTATAGAATCGTACAGCACAAAACAAGGCCATCGAGTCTGTGCCGGCTCTTTGAATAGAGCGATGTAATATCAATCCCACTCCCCAGCCCTTTCCCCATAACCTGCATTATCTCGCATTTCTCCACATCAAAATTCATCTGCAATGTGTCTACCCATTTTACCATTCTGTCTATGTCCTTCACAAAAAATAATAATAATTTGGTGTCTTCATTCTACCACTGTTTGTGGGACGCTGCTGTGTGCAATTGGCTGCTGCATTTCTCCCAGAGCTCAACTTACTCTGGCCACAGCAAGGTAAACTTCCAGCTCCGCAATCCGCTTTCCAATGCAGCTCCTCTTGCCGAAGCCAAATGGAATGGAGGCGTAGGGGTGAATGGACTGGTGCTTGTTGAGCCAGCGCGCTGGCTGGAAGCTGTTTGGGTCAGGGAAGACATTCTCGTCTCGGGAGGTTGCGTAGTGACACAGAGTGATCAGAGTCTGTGTGGGGGGAGAGGAGAACAACTCTGTTGGTAAAATTCCCCCTCGTTAACATGTTGCTGCTTCAACCCTAAACGTCCAGAATGGAAATCTCCCAACACAAGCACACATCATCAAAGGCTTCCGCTCATTGGGAAGCGGAATAACTTGTCCAGACTGAGTGATATCACCAAGAAACTCAGCTATGCTCAACTACTGCAGGTTAGTCACTTATAAGGAAATTAGATTGAAGTGTTTCTGAGACGCTGCCCTGTGTGGAGGGCGCTATATAAGTGCAAGTTGTAGTTGCAAGTTGTTGTTATAGATAGGTTTGAAAAGGAAAAAATTGCAGTGTTAGTGGGACTGATTGGGTAGGTCTTCCAAAGAGCGGGCACAGACACGATGGGCCAAATAGCCTCCTTCTGTGCTGTAATATTCTATGATAAGCAACTGCAACCGTAGAATAAACCAAGCTGTGGTTACTCCGTAAAGAGCTAGTTGGGTCACTTGTCACTTGTTAGTGAGACCAAACTGGGCTCAGACACGGGAACGATGGCCCAAAGGTTTACCCTGTTGTGAACCGACACTGCACTGGAGACTGGGAAAGAATTGGCAAATATCTTAAAAGAATGCGGCAAACAAATTCAAACTCTTCCAAAAGCAGATTTTATGAGTCCTGCGGTCCTTACTTTTTGGGGAATGATGTATTCTCCAACTTGGATATCTCTGTCTGGAATAACACGGGCGTTACCTGGGATAACAGGGTAAAGCCTGGAAAGGGGAGACATTTCACATTACATGTGCATTACAGTGAATTCCCTGTTGTTTGCGAGCAGCCCTCCTGTTACTATTGTATGACAACTTATTAGTTAGACCATAACCGGCTGTATCAGATTAGTTGGGGAATATGAAGTTGAGCCTGGTGATGGCATTGCATTGTCTGGCATAAAGCTGTGTAATTCACAAAAAGTGAAACGCTCAAATTCTGCTATTACTAGTAATCAGAGTAAGAGAGGCTCCACAGTGACAATAACATGCAAATCCAATAACTTGCGTAACATCACTTAAATTCACATTTGGGCCAAATCCTTTCACAAAAAGACAATCCCGTTTTAATGAAATGTGACCATTCCTAGCAACTGAACTAAATATGTTGATTAGTGGCTGTAATCTCTCCCTTGCCAGACTCCTGAGTCTGCGTGTGTATGTGCATGTGTGCGTGCGTGCATGCATATGTGCGCGTTATGTGTGTGTGTGTGGGTTGCATGTACTAAATAGAGACACATATTCCCCCTATTAGCACGGCTCACTTTCCAATCTTACCTCAGTACTTCTTTCACAACTGCCTTCATGAGGGTCATTCTGGCCACATCGGCGTACGAGGGCATCAGCTTGTCTCCCAGAATGTCCTTTATTTCTCTGTGCAGAGTTGCCTGGATATCTGGGTGTCTGGACAACTCATACAAAGTCCATGACATTGTACTGGAAATCTACAGCAAATATACAGGAGGTCAGCATAAAGGACACATACCATGAGGGATGTTGCTCCACACACTCACACCACACTGTAATCAGTGCAGCATCAGGAGCCCACGTGGAGCTCCTCCACATGAATAAGTTATTGCCGGCCAGCTGGCACCCATGCAACCACACGTCACAAAGAGCCAATATATTCAGAGCAGGAGAAGAGCAAACGGGTTCAAAGACTCTTATTCATTCACTTCTCCCCAAAACGTACCAACAGTGTGGATTCTTTATAGTTCTCGTACATCAATTTGTGTGTGTCTATGTGTGTGTGTGTGTCTGTGGGGAGGGGCGGGGGGGGGGGGGGTGGGGGAGGTTCGGGCCGGCGTCCAGTCTTTGGGAATAGATGGAAAAATAACGGACTTACGGTATCAACGCCGGCCAATAGTAGCTCTGTGACGTTGCCATAAATGGTCCGCATGCTGAGGTTCTGACACGACAGGAAATAGGTCAGGTATTTCCCCTCGATAGCTTTCCTTCTCGATAACTTCTCCTTAATCTCAGCCATCCTTCTGTCTATGTGTCCTTTAGCTGAGAAAGTTATCATAAAACATGTCACTTTAGGAATAGGCTCGAAGGCAGCCTCACTTTCCTGATGCACAACAACACCCAAGGCTATCACAGGCTGGTAAGCACATCATTGTCACAATGCACTGAACCATTGAATGAATGGTGGGTGGCTACACTCACAATTCCTCCCATGGTGAGCGACACAAGATAACAAGAGGTTTTTTTGGCCAGGAAGATCTTTTGGCCCAAAGAGGCCTTTTGTGACCCGGTGATAATATATTGTATTATTCTTAATACTATTATATAATAATAATGCTTGCAATTGATATAGCGCTTTTTGTGTTTTCTAGACGTCTCGAAGCGCTTGAGAGAATATACTGCAATGTGAATTGACTGTATATTTGTGGGGAAACACGGCAGCCAATTGCGCACAGCAGCGTCCCACAAACAGTCGTGAATTGAAGTGACCAATTTTTATCACTTTTTTCTTGAAGGATTATTATCAAGCGTGCAGAGTAAGGAAACTAGCCCAAGGTTTCGTCCTGCCGGGAATCGAACCCAGATCTCTCGCTTACTACACACAATTTTTCATATTTATAAAGATATACAAATAAAAGGTCTAATTCCAAAACACTGCTCAGTGCTAATCCCCTCACTAACAATGAACAAAACAACTGACTTACCAAAAGCAAACATACAATCCCAGGATGCAGTGAATTTCTGCCAGGGTGCCGGGAAAATCTTGTGCAAGAACTTGGGCATCGCCATGGTCAAGAGTGTCATTTGAAACATGGTATTAATGGCCTGAATAAAGTCTTCTGTGTCTTTGGGGACATCAGCTTCGAGGCAGCCAATCCGTGTCTCGAAGAGCACTGAAGAGATACCTGAGAGTGTGAAGATCAATTACTTAATGCCTCACAAATCACAGAATGTTAATTTGTGGCTGATCGGGTCAGTAAATCATCTCTTGTATTGCAAGTGTCACGCTGGACGAGGGAACCACTCTTCCCTTTACCCTTTGAGGTTGATAAAATGATCATCATATCTCAAAATAAACTGCATGGAGACATGTCTAGTGAAGCCAGACATCTCTACAATAAATCAAGGGCATTGTTAGTGGTTGACCAGCACGACTGGATCAGTGATAAGATCTGGAGGTGCTGATGTGTTTTGAAGCCTTTGACCCAAAGCCCTGATGTAGACAAATACTTAGTAATACATATTAATATGAATTGTGTGGTTTCCATTCTGTGCCTTGACTCAGTGAACTGGGTGTGAATCCAGCCTGGAATGACTGAATGGAAGTCTCTTTTTTGCTGCTGAAAGACATCTGTAGATAAAATTGGGATCTTTCTTATCTTTAGTGGCACATCCAAAACTCTGCCACTCTCTGCTGCTTTGCTGCAATCTTGGTGCAGTGGGAGAGTGATGTGCATGCAACATTAACCGTAGCACACAACTCACTTTCAGTCAGGGGTAAGTTGTTTTACAGTGAATGTCTCCAGGAAATCACAGCTTGTTTTCCACTCTTTCTATGTCCCAGTACTCACCCTCTAACCCGAATTTGTAGAACTCTCCCGCAACATCCTTAACCACCTTATTGTTACTTTTGCTCCGTTGGTTCCGGAGCCTCGCGATCAAGTCCGTGACAACTTGATTCAGGACATCGCTGTAGGCTGTCACTTCCTTTGGCTTCAGCATGTGCTGGGCCAGCATGCTGCGGATGCTCTGCCACTCCTCGCCTTCCCTGGAAGAAAGCGAAGCTGAAACCCAACAGCCATTTCCTAGCGTAAGCATTGTCAACTCTTACCATGACCAGGGGCCATTAATTTCGAGAGGGAATCAAGACTGCAAACAACAAAATTAAAAATACATTAAAAATCAAGAGCCAGCCTTTGACTCTTGTTGAGCGCCTTGGGACGTCCTGCCAACGTGAAAGGCGCTACACAAATGTATAAATAATAATGGCCAATTGGGTGCGGCACCTACCAGGGTCCATGGGGGGTGACTGGGGCCTATGGTACTGTTAAAAAACAAGCAGTCAAACACCTGAGGACTAAAGTTTTGAAGAAATTCTTTTTAAGCTCCTGCAATTGCAGGTTTAAAATCTGGTTCAAGTATCTTTTTTTAAAAAAAGTTATTTCCTTTCTAACTAATCTAGCAGATTAATTATTTTCAGAAGTAAATTGGTGCTTGACTTTCTATTGAGGCTAATGTCATAATGCTTAAGTCATGGGTATCCTTTAATATGGAGCTGAATCAGAAGCGATTTGTCACTGCTTCGCAATCCTCTGATTAAAGGCTGATGAACTGACAAACTCACTCACTCAACCACACAAAAAAANCAAATACCTATACAGCACCTTTCATGTCGGGAGGACGTCCTAGGCACTGGACAGTCAGAAATTTGGACCCGAGCTGGGGATTGAATCAGGAGGAATGGAGGGGCAGGGCAGGGAGGGAAGGGGTAGGAGGGTGACCAAAGGTGTGGTCAAAGAGGAGGATGTTGAGATGTGCCTTCAAGGAGGCGAGAGAGGGACCAAAGCGAAGGGATTGTGGGATGGAATTCCAGAGGGCAGGGGCAGAGAGGCTGAAAGCCGATGGTCAGGGGGACGTGGAGCAGGCCAGAGCATACTGAGTGGAAGGAACGGCAGGTCAATATGGCGTCAGCAGATCACAGACATAGGAAGGAGCAAGACGTGGAGGGCTTTGAAGGTGAGGACGAGGATTTTGAACTTTACCCTCTAGGGGATGGAGAGCCAGTGGAGCCGAGCGAGGGTGGGGGTGAGGGGGTCACGGAGCCTGGTGCTGCAGCTTCAATCTGAAGCTGTGCAATACGAGACGTGGAACTCCTGGCTGATGTTTTCACAGTGAAACCAAGATGCCTGGCAAAGCACCAAGGCAATGAAATCAATAATGTCTTCAAAGATATAGCAAGGCCTCTGGCGTGGCAAACAGGCAGCAATGGGTGTACAGATGTGACAAGGCTATCAGGATGAGGGGTCAGGCGCTCAGCCTCTGCTCTGCCACATCAGGGCTTATGGCCCAAAGTCTCCCACCCCTCGAGCATGAGGCTGACATTTCACACGTTTGACTGGGGAGTGTTGCCCAGTCGACGGTTGGGAGTGATATTTCATGACATGGCAAAGGATTGCAGGGAGAGTTTACATTCCCAGCAGCCTGGACCAGAAGTCAGCTGTGATCTATTGCTCTTTCCAGCGCCTTGGGACGTTCTCCCGATGTGAAAGGCGCTCTATAAATGTAATTTTGTTGTTGTTGTGTTGTTTTTTGGGGGGTGTCTTACTCACGCTGTGAGGAGTCCACAGGCATGTCCTCTTTGCTGCCGGTAATCTTTCCACGATGATAAGTCGGATCGGACGGGATGTTTGCCCTCCTGTCGCAGCACTTGTTCTATCAGAGCAGCATCTGCGATGTGCACGGTGAGGATGGGTCCGAAGCTGGCCTTCCACACCGGGCCGTATTTCCTCTTTCCCTCCAGCTAGTAAAACAGTTTATGGTTACAGCTTAACTTAGCTCTTCTGAGGTCTGACATTCCACTTAGTCTTAGCTGGTAAGGCCATTTTGTGGTAAAAATGCCAATATTGTGAAAAATACTTAAATTTGGTCTCAATTTGAAGATACTCTTTTTTAAAAAGACCAACTCTCGAATTAAGACTGAATGTAAGAAAGATCGTGCCTCTTCCTCTCTTAATTTCATGGGACCAGATATATAATATAATAATAATCCTTGCATTTGATTTACAACAACAGCAACAAGATTTCATCTATAAAGAGTGCGTTTCACGTCGGGAGGACGATGAGGATTTAGAGCGTTATCAAGTTGTTGAGACGTCTCAAAGCGTAACACATAATATACCGTAAACTGACTGTGTATTTTGTGGGTAAAACGTATCAAAACAAACATCCACATTTTAATTTACAAATTTTAACTTATACAACAGACACCAATAAAACAGAATCCTTATGGTAATACCACATCTTGAAAGCTTTGATTCAATAAATTAGAGAAAAAACTGCAGTGATTTCCTTAAAGTGCTGAAAAAGGGGAAACTTTTTGTGATGGTGTTTGTTGCTGAAGCAATTATAGTATTTACAGATACAGCAGCAGATCCACTGCTCGTCCCTCAGGACTGCGGTACTTTCCTCAGTAAAGACACAATACACATTGACAGTTATGTAGTGCCTTTCACGTCGGGAGAAGGTTTGAAAGCGCTTCAGGAAAGGGCTCCGTCAGTCGCACCTGAAGCTCGTGGAGCCGCGCCAGTCCCTCGTGGCAGAGCAGGTCCCAGGCGGAGCGCGCGGCGCCGGGTCCGGGCATCTCACAGAGGGTCTTCATGGCACTGCTCCTCTGTTTGTGGGTCACCAGGAACTGCACCGCCGTCTCCGCTATGGCCCTGCGGTGCGCGGGGCTGCGGGTGACCTGCCGTATGGCGCAGGACATCACTACCATCGCGAGGGGCCGCGGCGCACATCCCTCCGGCGCTCTCAGGGGTTTATATGGACCACACATTGGCTTCTCAACCCAACTGGGCGGCGGGAGGCGGTTTGTCTGTGACTGGCAGCGCACCTGACCAATCAGGGACCAGCAGCCACATGAATACCTGACCCGAGCCAATCACAGGCAGCACTGGGCGGGGCCTGGCGGCCAGGAGGGGGCGCTGGTCCGCACCGCACCGACACGAGGAACGGCCCAGAGTGGGAATGGGAGGGTCGGGAATCTGAAGTTAAAGTATAAATGGAAAGTGCAGCAGATCAAACGGCACCTGAGAGATTTATTTGGGTCCGAGTTTTGAGCAGAACTCAAAGCATTTATTTCGCTGCTGTCGGGTGGGCTGTTGCCCAGACCCAGGAACATCATCTCAGACCGGGACCGGACTCTCAGGGCTGTACCCTCCAACCCCACTGGTCAGCACTCACCATAGCTACAGGCAAACACGCAATTGGGAATCACACCTTCAGGCCATCTTCATCCAATGTCCAAAACATGTAGTTTCTCGTACAGATAACTAAACACTGATCAAAGGTCCAGGACTCTGAGGCTAATGGTGAAGTCCCAACTTTCACTGTGGCTGGTGGAGCAAACCCAGACCTGAGCAGTTCCCAGGCTGTATGGTTTAAAAACAATCAAGTTGACCCATTTATCCTGAAACTCCAGAAGACATTAATTAACAATTTAATATGATACTCTAACCCATAATAACCCACTTTAAATTACCAATGATACTTGATAATTCTCCATGAAATTCACTATTTCCTGGCCATTCAACAACAAAATGACATCTATAGAGCTCCTTTCACGTCGGGAGGATGTCCCAAAGCGCTGAACAGTCAGCTCAGGACCCGAGCATGGGGGGAGGGGCGGTGTAGGGGGAGGGAAGGCAGAGAGGTGGGAGGGAGACCAAAGGCACGGTTGAAGAGAAGGGTCTTGAGACCGGCCTTGAAGGAGGTGAGGGAGGAAGCGAGGCGAAGGGACCGTGAGATGGAGTTCCAGAGTGTGGGGGCAGAGAGGCTGAAAGCTCAGCCACCGATGGTAGGGCGGGTCAGGCGGGAGACATGGAGCAGACCGGAGCCCGCTGAATGGAGAGAGCGGGCAGGTTGGTAGGGACTATGCTATTTCTCCAGGGTTTATCTTCAGCTGGAAACACACTGGCCTCAGCAGCAATCACAGTGATGGAGCACAAACTAGGAATGGAAAACTACAATTGGAATCCTGCAATCGACTGCAGAGCATTTTGCAATTCAGTGGCATAGATAACACTTTGCAGAAATGGTACATTACAACAGAGTTCTCCTAATCGAACTTTAGCACTCGATTTCCAACTGAGCACAGAATGACGTTATGTAAAAAGCTCACATGCATTATAGACGTGTCCAGGGAAAAGTTCACATTTACTCAAAGGTCTTGACTCCAGGCTTGTCCATGGGCTAATGGCAAAGCCGAGTTGGCAGGAAATTAGAGATTTCTCTCCAAAACTATTGGCAGAATTTATTTCCTGTGTATGTATTTCCTTTCTGTGTATTTAAGTCACAATTAGAGGGATGTCCAGGAGCAAACTTTAGATCATACAAGTATTGTAATAATCATTGCAGGAGTCCTGTAGCTCAGTGGTTAGAGCACTCTCCTCGCAAGCGAGAGACATGGGTTCGATTCCCGGCAGGGCGAAATGTTGGGCAAGTTTCCTTACTCCACACACCTCTGTTTAACAGCAATAAGTAGGAAGCCGGTTGCTAGTTGATTGGCTGATCACTTCTCTAGGGATAATAATTCCTTCAACAAAAAAAATTGGTCACTCAATCCACAACTGTCTGTGGGACCCTGCTGTGTGCAATTGCCTGCTGCATTTCGCCCACAAAATATATAGTCAATTCACTTTACAGTAGAGTCTGCAAAGCGCTTTGAAATGTCTCAAAGATGTGATAAACCGCTATATCAAATACAAGGGTTATTATTTGATTATAATTTAGTATGAGCGCCTATAATGTCGACATTTTGCAAAGTGTCTCATAGGTATTTGTTCTCTAATCTGGTAACAATTCAGAGGCAAACCCAGATTATACAGCATGGAGATTAGAACTCATTGTGGTATAATCACACCATATTTAACAAACAAGATTTCAGTTGGCTGTGAAATAACAGAATCAGTATATTATAGCATTTGAAAGTTATTAAGATATCAAGATTCTTATATTCTGACTGTCTTACTTTTAGATACACTGTATAAATGAAGTGGTGATATCCTCACATCACAAATGTACATAGACAATAATGGCAAATATATATCTGCTAATCCATGACTCACGAGGATTATTTTTAGTTTAGGACCTTGATGTGATGTTTTAGCAAGAAAACAACAACAACAACAAGATTCCATTTATAGAGCGCCTTTCACGTCGGGAGGACGTCCCAAGGCGCTGGACAGTTGGGTCAGGACCCGAGCAGGGGGGGAAATGGTCAGGGTGAGGGAAGGGAGGGAGCGAGGAGGGGGTAGAGAGTCGAGAGGGGAGCTGAAGGCTGAAGGTCAAAGAGAAAGGTCTTGAGACCGGCCTTGAAGAAGGAAAGGGAGGAGGCGGCGAAGGCACTGGGGGATAGAGTTCCAGAGCCTCGGGGCTGAGAGGCTGAAGGCCCGGCCACCGATGGTAGGGCGGTTGGGGCGGGGGATGTGGAGCAGACCGGAGCCAGAGGAATGGAGGGTACGGGCAGGTAGGTAGGGGGATAGTAGGTCGGAGAGGTAGGAGGGAGCAAGGCCGTGAATGGCCTTGTAGGTGAGGATGAGGATCTTGAAATCGATCCTCTGGGGGATGGGGAGCCAGTGGAGGCGAGCGAGGGTGAGGGCGAGGGTGGGAGCGAGGGTGAGGGTGAGGGCGGGAGTGATATGGTCTCGGTGTCTGGTGTGGGACAGAGTTCTGAATGACCTGCAGCTTGTGGAGGAAGGTGCCGGGAAGGCCGGCGAGGAGAGAGTTCCCATAGTCCAGCCTTGAGGTGATAAAGGCGTGGACCAGAGTTTCAGCCGCGTGAGGGGTGAGGTAGTGCCGTAGTCTGGCAACATTCCGGAGGTGATGGAAGGCGGTGCCAGTTGTGGCGCGGATATGAGGGAGAAAGGACAGCTCAGGGTCGAAGAGAACCCCGAGGTTCCTGATGGCTTTGAGAGGTGGAGAGTGCGGCCTTGGATGCTGATGCTGTCAGCGCCTGAGTTGCGGAGGCGCTGACGTGAGACAATCAGGAGGGCCTCAGGTTTGCGCACGTTGAGCTGAAGAAAGTTGTCTCTCGTCCAGGACTCGATGTCGGACAGACAGCTGTCAGGACATCGGGGGTCGTGGAGTTGAGGGTAGAGGAGGAAAGGTAGAGTTGGGTGTCATCCCCATACATGTGGAAGTTAACCCCATGTCTGCGGATGATGTCACCACAGGGGAAGCATATAGAGGGTGAAGAGGAGGGGGTCGAGGACAGAGCCCTGAGGGACACCGCACGAGACAGTGCGGGGGGTGGAGGAAAAACCAATCGTGGAAACGAAGTGAAGACGGTGGGAGAGGAACAACCTAAACCACTCAAGGACAGGACCTTGAAGGTTGAGGTGGGAGGACAAGCGGTGGAGGAGGATAGCGTGGTCGACTGTATCAAATGCTGCCGATAGGTCAAGGAAGACGAGGAGGCAGAGGGAGCCCTGGTCACAGATGGTCAGGATGTCATTGGTGACCTTGACCAGGGCAGTTTCTGTGCTATGGGGTTCGAATAATGAATGGGTGGAGAGGAAAGAGCGCAGCTAGGAGGCCACAACTCGTTCCAGGATTGCTCTACACATTCTTCTCCCCATAAAAACTGCTACAGTCCCTATCAACCAACAAAATAACTTGCATTTATATAGCGCCCTTCACTTAGGTTAGTGCGCTGGAGCACTTGACAGTGGCAGAGACTGACACTGAGCCAGGGGGAGAGGGAGGGGGTAGGTGACTGTAAGCACAATCAAATAGGAAGGTCTTTAGCAGGGATTTGAAGGTGGAGAGAGATGGGGGCGGTTGGTCCCAAATATAATCAACTATTATATTTGTGATAAACTCCTACAAAAGGGTGTCAAAAGTTTCAAGCCACTTTGTACATTTGTCTCCCAGTTGCTGTAATAAACATGACGAATGCCTGTTTACAGTTAGTTATTGTCTTCCCTTTACGGATCTTTCCGATTTACAACACAGCAGTTTCGATTTAAAACTAGATGTGCCTAAAGCAGAACGGTGCGCTGACATGGTCTGTTACTAGCATAGGCTGGTGCTACATCTGGGTCCAAATAATCAGTAAAATCAAAGCATGCTGGAATCTTGGGCATTTTAGTTATACTGTATTTTACATTGGACCTGTATATCACCACCTTCACACCTGTATTCATCTGCTATTGGTCCTCGAAATCACTTTGCTTACTTAATACCTAGCCACAACAGCACAAAGTTCAGAGATACAGTAGTTCATACAATGCTGAGGAAAGGAATTTGTTCATATCTTCCTTTTTTTTCGAAAAAAAGTCATCACAAATTCTGAGGAGCAGAGGTGAAGTTAAGAATACCATGTCACAAGCTGCAGAATTGCTCGATATTGAGAATGCCGCGCATACAGGCCATTTTTGGTCTTATGAAAAAATGTAATACTTAAGAGGAATAAAAATAATAACATACAACTATTCAAACAAACACACACATGCCCATTTGATTCATGCCAGTAAGGATCAATATGGTCGATTCTCAGAATCACCAGGATCCTTATGATGTTTAATTCAGTTATATCCGTAATACATTTACAGCAAAAAATATTCAGTTCACAATTAGTTTTCCCAGATAACTACAATTGTAATGTCTCCAGAATTCACACTCCACTATGTGAGGGAAAATGATACAGCAATACTAGGCAGGACTAATAAGGAGCTCCACTTATGTTTGTCTTGGTGAGTCCTCACCTGTGCAACAGTTTGGAAGTGTGGTTAGGATTGAGGATCTTCTTAAAACTGAAGCACAGCCTCAACCACGTGAAGAATCTGCAGCTACTAAAATGAGCAGCAGTTATTGCCAAGGCCTGCCTTCTGCAGGATTTTCATATTGCATAACATTTTTAATGATATACCTCTCATTTATTGCTGTGGTTAAAATTCAAAATAGACACAAAGAGTAAATAAAAATGTCATTTGATGGCTACAGATTTCCAAACTGATGCTTTCACTGTGAACCAACACATCAAAATATCAACTCATTATGGTATAGCCTTGTATATAAAACTATCAACTCCTGGCTTTTCTTTGAAGACTCCGGATGGTATATTTTCCTTTTGATTTAAATAGGTTTAAAGATGTGGGACATTCTCTTCACACAATCTCCGCAGCCACGTGTTGTTTGTACATGTGTCCAGTTTGTTCCAATTTATGCATTTTTTTTACAACAGTCAGCAAGAAGTGCTGCTTTCAGGAATTTTCCTCTTCAGATTTCTGACTTATGATTTTTCGTCAACCCGTTTAAACACAGCAGTGAAATTCTGACCTCTGTTCCTCAGCACCTTCTTGCCTTCCTCTGTGCATGCACTGAGACGCTCAACAATCACATCATCTTTCTGGTGTTAAAAAAATAGAAAAAGGAAATTATTTCAAGTTGTAAAATGTTCTTGATTTATTTTCAAAAATGGTGGAAGGAAACAGTTGGGCTTCCACAAATACTGAAAATGCATCATAAAGCGAACAATATAGCGCAGGAAGATTCCTGAGCCCAAATTTCAGACTGGTTTCAGTTAATAGCATGCAGAATTTGGGAATTTCTTAAACTCACTCGTCTTAATTTGGAAACTGGTTTCCACAAGTCTATGAACACTATGGAAAATATGCCCACAAAAACATCCAAAACTCAAGTCTTCAAGAATAAAATTCTTCTAAGCTTCTAGAATAAAATTCTCACCAATTCTTCTAATGGGACATGTTCAAAAAGTGGGTGATTTGTGAAATGTTTCAGCATCCATTCATGCACTTCCTGCACATCTGTAATTGTATAAACAAGACCCTAGAAGAGAAGAATAATTATCTAAGGATTATACAACAAGGGGTTAAATACTGTTAATACAGAAACTCTCAGATGTCATGGATAAACTCTGACATGCAATGGCCACCCAGATTGAAAGCAAAGTCCCATAGACGTGAGGTAAATGACCAATTAAGATTCAGAATTATGGTCCCCCCCACCCCACAAGCTTCAGAATTAAAGAATGTGATTTGCATTTCTTTAAGAGTCCATTTCCAACATTTCATCTTTAATAAACCTAGCAATGGGGATAATGAAACCACAAATCAAGAATCAGCCAAGATAAATGGATGGAAATGAAAGGCTCCTACCCCAACATGCAGTACATAAGCGTATTCAGCCAGCAGAGTGGAGCTAATAATTCTCCACTTGTGCTTCGTCTTTTTGAAATGTGGGTCTGGGAAAAGGAAGAACATCTTGCTTAGCTGCAGAGACAGAGAGAAAGAAAGAAAGCATTTTCAGAAATGTTAAAACAATCAGTACATGAGCACTATCTTCAAGCTTAAAAGGTCTATTGCAAATAGATTGTTTAGCAACAACTCCCAACAAGAAAGAAAATTCTGCCAGATAACAGTTTACAGTGTCAGGACACAAAGACACTAAACAATTAACTCTCTTATCCCAGTTGTTGTACCTGCCCTTTTTGGAAGAAGTTTGGTAAATACTTCATTGCGTTGCTTCTGATGCAAGCGATGTTCTGGTACTTTCCAGGGTTGGAAGCTCTCAGAGAGTCAATGCGATCTATGACATAGTCAGATACCTTCACTCGGATTTCCAGACCAAGCATCAACACATTGGGAAAGAGAGGAGATAACTCAACTGGAAAGAGGAAAAGAATAAAATCAATACATCAATAGAAAGTGCAGGTTGTAAAACCCTGCTTCTGTACATTTTTATCCACATGGGGTATATATTTTATATCAGCCTCAAGTGCTGCCTGGCTGGTCCAGAATAAATGCACTTGACTGTTCTGTATATTGAGTGAGCTACCAATTAAAATCATTCCCTCAGCCTGTCCAATTTGCATTTTTCCTGCTCCAATTTTAATTTATTAATCTGGTCAAAGAAGAAACTGCAATATCCATGTTCCCCAAGGGAAAATCGCTCCTGTCCAATTTAATTTGTCTACTAAGCTTTGAAGCCTCAGATATTCCAGTCTTCTGATCACAGAATTGCTAAAGGAAACTGGCCAATCATTTTGTCACAACATACTCTATGCTGCAGTTATGATATATAAATTAAATTTAACTCAAAATCATATGTCTATTGCTATATCTTCACATCACAAACTACAGCATACCCAGCGACATTCAGTTGAAGTGGATAAACTTGAGAGTAATGCATGAAAATAAATCCGATGTGAAATTTTGCACTTGGCATTACTGTTGACTGATTTAAAATATTTCCAAGGAACTAATGGACACAGTTGTGTGTGTAACACACGGTTCCTGTCCTGAGGGTGGACATGAAGCAATAACATCACCTAGTGGCAAAAAATTGGCACTTCAATAACACACATTCAAGGAAGTTATCCATGGAATCCCTGTATGTCATATTTTTACAGTTGATGAGTAGCAAGCAACACTCATCTTTGAATACAAGTACTAGTTTCCAAAGGGTCTTTCCATTAGTAAATAACCACAAAATAACACAACTTGGATTGATTAATCAGTTACAAATACAATTCAGTGCAATGCAAACAAAAAATATTTGGGCAATAATTCTTAGTATTCCCCAATGCTCAAGGCGTTGAGCTGAGAATATGAAATTAAGCTCCTCAAATGTTTTTACGCATCACACTATGAAAACCTGGACTAGAGGTCCACATCTGAAGCCAAATCCACAATTTGTGCCCAGTCTTCAACAATAATCTGACATTTATTATCCCTTGCTTACAAGAGTTATTGCAACATTTTCCCAAGTGTCTGCAAATACATTCCATCAGTCACTTTGATTTTACCCTCTAGTTATGTATCCTCTCAAGTAAGCTATCTACGTGATGCAGTAACCTCAAGCTGCCAAACAAGAACACACAAGATTGAAAGTTTGGTCTTTGCATTCTTTATAAATTTACCACCCAAGATTTTCAGAACAATGACAAATTACATTTTATAGCACCTTTCCCATCAGGAGTATGTCCCAAGGCGCACTTGAATTGGTGGTTGGGATCAGGAGGGGTGGACGGCAGGGGTAAGAGGATAACCAAAGAAGAGACGGGTCTTGAAAGAGGCAAGGGAGGGGGCGAGGCGGAGGGATTGTGGGATGGATTTCCAGAGGGTGGGGGCAGAGAGGCTGAAGGCCTGCCTGCCAATGGTGGGGCTGGCAAGGCGAGGAACGTGAAGCAGGCCGGAGCCCGCTGAGTGGAGGGAGTGGGCAGGTTGGTCGGGGATTAGGAGGACGCAATACGATTTGAAAATGTATGCTAGCCTTCCAGCAGTATAGTAACTTTCGATCAACAGTCTTACCTAGTAACCCGCCATATCCACAACCTACGTCTGCAAATTCCACCCGAAATTGTGATTTTTTTCCAGTTACAAGATCTTTGCTATCAACATGATGGTTGTTTTCAGGGCGTGGTTTGAAGTACTCAGGGTAGTATTGAGACCAATCCATTCTTTCAGGGTTCACTGGACTTTATAGAGAAAACATATTAAGCCACCAGTTTGTGGGACACTGTACAATTGGCTATCGCATTTTGCCCACAAAATTCAGTCAATCCACTTTACACTACATTCAGTGAAGCACTTTGAGACGTCTCAACAACGTGATAAGGCACTATGTCAAATGCAAGGATTATTTTTATTACTATGCAGATATTGAGGTGTATCCAATAAACTGTTGCAAAATATGCACAAATTTTAACAAAGCTAAAAAAAATCTACCTAGCCTCAAAAAAATTGAGGATGCCATTCACTTTGGAAACCAATACATATTAGTGCCAGCATTAAGATCTCCGGGGTAATTGTCCAATCTACATAAAAGTCTCAGTCAAGCATATGACTGGAGCTTGACTATCCTCTGGGGGTGGGGTGGTAAGCGGGGTCTCCTTGGAGCTGAACTGGCTCCAGGATGACATGGAATCCAGCCAGCCCTCTGTGATGGGTTCGGTAGTCCGGTTCTTGAGCCAGATAGGTCCGGAGTATTCCAGGGCACTACTGATGGCAGCACAGCCCAGCCTGGCTCATCGGCAGGGCCTGGAAGGGCAGACCAGTCACTGGGGGCAGTGAGTCATCCCACTCAGCTCCCCTTAATCCTGCAACCCAAAGCCCTAACGGATAGGGTGGTCCTAGCTGGACAACCACCGGGAAAGCTTGCCAGTCAGCAATATCAATGGATAAGCTATGTGGTTTTAGCTGGTTAGATTCCAGCAGTTACCCCAATGCACACTATGGGGTCCCTCTTGCCAACCTGCACCTAATACAATAGGTAAGCAGAATGCGTTCCTCCAGCGAGCGAGAGAGCGTATTCCATTCCAACAATCTATCTCTGGGATTTCCACGTGTAAGTGGGATGTGGGGAAATCTCAGTTCGGTTCGAAGACTCTTAAGCAACGGTGATGGGTTTCTGCACGTGTCAGACACCCGGCTGACAGAAAGAGTTTGGACTTAAGAATTAATTGACTCTCAGTGGTGGGGGGTGGTGATGGAGGAGGGGTGGAGCCTGAGAGACCGAAGCCCCTCTCTTAGTAATTATTTGGGGAGGACAAGTTTGCAGGGCTATGGGGAGAGAGCGAAGGGGGGGGGGGGGAGTGGGGTTGGTCAGGGCTATGGGGAGAGAGCGAAGGGGGGAGTGGGGTTGATTTGGAAGCTCTTTTCAAAGAGCAGCACAGACACGATGGGCCGAATGGCCCCCCCCTGTGCTGTATAATTCTGTGAAGCCACACTCACTACTGGAAGACATGATCCGCCATGGGGTTGGAGTGAGCACGCTGCCGGTAATAACGCTTCTGCGGTGCAGAGGCGGCCGCCGCCATCTTTGCGGGATCCTTTTTTCCGGATAAAAAAAGATATTAAAAAAACAAGAAGAGAGAGAGGGGAGTGCACACGGCGAGAGAGGGGAGTGCACACGGCGAGCGCAGAGAGAGGGGGGGAAAGAAATGCCGGTTTGAAAGTAAACCGTCACTCCGGCCGCGAGCGTCACTCTGCGTTCCGCGTGCGTGCGATGCGTGCGCGCGCATCCGTTGCTAGGGCGTTGCTGGCGGAACGCGTCATCAATCAACCGCGCGAGCGCCCCTTTCCCGCCCTCCCTCCCGTCCGCCAGGACCACGTGACCGCGGTGAGCGGCGGGGGATGGGAAAGCCGTCAACTGCGCCTCGCGGCTGAGGGCGCGGAAGTTTCTGGAGCAGCGAGTGGGGCGGTCAGTGCGGCGCGGCCAGGCCGGCGGTCACCGGCGGTCACCGGGGCAAGAGTCAAGTAAAGATGTTCTTTCATTGTATTTATGTGCTGTCTATATACATATATATAACAATCCTTGAGTTTGATACAGCGCTTCATCACGTCGTGAAAACGCCTCAGAGCGCTTCAGGGAATATATACAATCCTAGAATTATACAGCACAGGGGGAGGCCATTCGGCCCATCGTGTCTGTGCTGATCTTTGAAAAGAGCTTCCAAATCAACCCCACTCCCCACCCCCCCCATAGCCCCGATCAACCCCACTCCCCCCCCCATAGCCCCGATCAACCCCACTCCCCCCATAGCCCTGACCAACCCCACTCCCCCCATAGCCCTGACCAACCCCACTCCCCCCATAGCCCTGACCAACCCCACTCCCCCCATAGCCCTGACCAACCCCACTCCCCCCCGCTCTCCCCATAGCCCCGATCAACCCCACCCCCCCCCATAGCCCTGACCAACCCCACTCCCCCACCGCTCTCTCCCCATAGCCCTGACCAACCCCACTCCCCCCCGCGCTCTCTCCCCATAGCCCTGATCAACCCCACTCCCCCCCCCCCCATAGCCCGATCAACCCCACTCCCCCCCCATAGCCCTGACCAACCCCACTCTCCCCATAGCCCTGACCAACCCCACTGCCCCCGCCTCTCCCCATAGCCCTGATCAACCCCACTCCCCCCCCCCCATAGCCCTGATCATCCCCACTCCCCCCCCCCCCATAGCCCTGATCAACCCCACTCCCCCGCTCTCTCCCCATAGCCCTGACCAACCCCACTCCCCCGCTCTCTCCCCATAGCCCCGCAAACTTGTCCTCCCCAAATAATTAACTACTTTTCTCTTAATTATTAGCAAATCGGCTTCCATCAGTGTTTCAGGTAACGCATTCCAGATCCCAACTACTCCAATCAACAAATATATTGTAAAGTGTAGTGACTGTGTATTTAATGGGCGAAACGCGGCAGCCAATTGCACACAGCAGTTTCCCACAGACAGTTGTGGGTTGAGTAACAAAATCACTGTTACCTTTTTTTTTGGAGGGATTATGACCCCTAACCTAACCCTAACCCAAAAATCGGTCTCCTACTCAATGCTGGGTAACCAGAGGCGTGTGCAGCAAGTAAACCTGTGGAAGGTTTTGCCCTGCGTGGGAATTGTACACAGGTCCTTTCGCCTGCGAGGCGAGTGCGCTAACCACTACACTACGGGACTCCCCCAGAGATTATACATAATAGGAAAAGGGGGAAAGTGAATCACAGGGTATCACAGCGCAGTACTATGGGGACCATCAAGTTGGTGTTGGTATTGGTCTCCACATGAGGTCTAACCCTGCAATCTCATCTCACTCTCCAATCTCTTTACTATTCCTTCCTCTTTAAGCACGTGACAGCCCTGCTCAGTTGGTCACACTCTCGGCTCGAGCTCACAAGCTTCAGTGTCTCGTGGGGGCTTTGAGCTGACCCCACATTGTCCGATGGAGGGGTGATCCATCATATGAGACGTTAAGCCAAGCTCCCAGCCTGTGCCCTGTTCAGGGGAAAATCAAACGGAGGGAGTTTCTCTTCACTCACTTCATGACTGTTTTTGAGAAGTTGCTGGGTGCAGATAAGCTGCTGCGTTTGCTTACAAAATGCAGTTACTGCACTTTAGAGTAAAAATTCTGTCAAGTAGTTTTCAACATCCTCCTCACATGAAAATTGCTTTACCAACTGCAAGGATTATTGTTATTATTTATCCATTTTTTAAAAAAAATAATTGGTGGCTTTCATCACCCTGGTCCCCATGAGTTCCATTCACCACTACAGTGAATGTTGGAGATGTTATTGATAAAAGCTTAAGGTAGGTGGAATAAAACACTTGAGCAAACTCAATGAAACTGGGATACAGAACTGTAGGCAATCATTAGGCACACAAAAACAAATCCTTCTTACTTCATCTTGGATGGTTTCCATTATCATTAGAGGTTGTTCAAGACATCCTCGCGCATAAAATATACAGTCGATTCACTTTACAGTATATTCTGTGAAGCGCTTTGAGGAGTTTTGAATACGTGATAAGGCACTATATTAAATGCAAGGATTATTATTATCTTAGAGTAACTGCTTAAAACTGGTTGATTCCCAAGCATTCAGACTGCATGCAGATAAATGTCACCATTCTCACACTTTGCATGTCAATGTCCACTTCATAAATTTCAGGCCATAAATCACTGAGCTAAAAACACTGTTAATCATCAATAGACACTTTACCCAAACATCATATTTTATCCCGAATCTGAGCTCTGAATGACTGAAGTATAAAAGCGTAATCGGTAATCATGCATGTAGAGTAGAAAATGTGTTTCTTTGTCTTAATTAGTACCAGATAAAATATAAATGAAATTCACAGTTCACCAGTGCGTAAATCGATGATGTGCGAAATTAGGAATTAGTTTATTACTTTATTAACTTGACCTCATTATATGTTTGGCATGGGCCCAGTCATAAAAGCCATTAGGATTTAGCTGATTCCACAATAGTTCCCTGCCAAAGTGGTATTTTACTATTCTGTTGCATCGCTAACTTCCCAAATATCTATATAAGTTCCACCAATGCTTGTGCATCTTTTTTGAACATACCTTAAAATCCACATTTTAAGCACTTCACTCTTCAATTTCTCTAATGATCTCCTCACCAGTCTCCCCAGCTCCACCATTCATAAAATTAAATTGATTCAAAACTCCGCTGCCTGTATCCTCACCAGTACCAAACTCTACACCCAACCACCACAGTCCTTGCCATGCTTTTACTGCAGAAAAGATGGGTTTCATGGTCCTCACATTCACTCCCAAATCACCTCATGCTGTAGCAACTCCCTAACTTTCCGACCTCACTTTTCCTCTACCCTGCCCCTTTGCTCAGACGGATCCTGCCTCCTCCCTTGTCTCCTCCACCATTGGAGGCTGTGCTTCCAGCCACTATGCCCCCAAACTCTGGAACTCTCTTCCTTAATCCCTTCGACTTGCCTCCTCCTTTCTGGGGCAGAGCTTTCCATATTTTCAAAACCCTCTGTGTCATAAGCCTTTTCATTGACTTTGTGTTCCTGAATTTGGTAAAGCTTCATAAATGTCCTAACTGTTGAATACGTGCTATTTTTGCATATCTGCACCTATAATATGTCACTTGTAAAAGAATTCTTCAAAAGTTTCTGGAAATTCTAGAGCTCTGTTTAAGTATAGGAGATGGAAGCCGTTGTTAGGAAATTTGCAAGGTCAATTTAAATTACAGCACAAACTGATACCTGGGGAATTGCAGCGGTAGCAATGCTAATTCGGAATATTCATTGAATAAACCAGAAAATCGTGATTTAAAAAGTAATTGATTCAATTTTGCACTGCTGTAAAATGTTGTACACATCAAAGTGAATGGTGACAGTTGGAGTTCCACTGTTTCAACCCATTAGTTAGTTAGTTATACTTTGTTTATACAAAATAGCCACAGTGAAAAGGTTTTAGATTATAAGTGGCCACATTGCAGGTATTATAGCTATTATAATGTTTTTTCTCCAAACATTTAAAATGTTTTGATTTCCAGATCCGTAAAGAATAACTGCAGAACGAGGAAAGTCTTTGACGTTCCAAAATTGATTTTATTCTAAACATGGGAGGTGTGGCACATGTCCAATCATTCACTCCCTCCGCTCAAACTGCCTCCTTAAGGCAAACCGAACTTCCCCCTCCCTTATACGTACCCTCCCCAACTCTCTACTCACACCACTCTCCACAACCATCTCTCCTGTACACCCGAAAATCCTCTCTGCATCATTCTCTCTTCCCTCTCCTCCCTCCCCTCCCTCCAGCAAACCCACCCGCATTTCCCTCCAAAACGTCCGTTCCCTCTCAAATAAAGCCCTCACCATCCACAACCTCATCCTGGACGAGCACTTTGATATTCTTGGGCTCACCGAAACCTGGCTCTCCCCCAGTGACCACGTCCCCCTAGTGGAAGCCTCCCCTCCAGGCTACACCTTCCACCACACCTCCCATCCAAAGCCTCCCTTGGTCTTACCCCTACTCCTCTGGCTGCTTCCCCTCCTTCGAGCACCTCACCTTCTTCCACCCCTCTCTCCCATTGAAAATCTTCCTTGTCTACTGTCCCCCTAAGGCCCCTGGCTCATTCCACACAGACATCTCTACTCTCCTCTGCTCTGAGCGCCTGCTCATCATGGGCGATTTCAACCTCCACCTAAACTCCCCTTGCACCACTTCTGCCGACTTCACTGCCCTCCTCTCGTCCCTAAACCTCATTCTTCATATAAATTCACCTACCCACAACTGTGGTCATGCCCTTGACCTCATTATCACCCACGGCCTTGACATTTCCGACCTTAGCATAGTGGACAAGGCTATCTCGGACCACTTCCTCATCTCCTTCTCCTCTCACATCCCTCTCTCTTCCACCAAGCTCTCAACCATCTATCGCCCTTGGAAAAAGCTACCCCCTGAGACCCTCACAAAGGCCCTCACATCATCAAACATCCTATCCCTCTGGCCTTCCACCCACGGAGATCCTGAAGCAGCCGTCCAGCTGCTCCATGATCGCCTCTCCTCCACCTTCAACTCCCTCGTCCCCCTGAAATCCAGGACCATCTTCAAACCTACCCGATCCCCCGGTACAACAACCATCTCTGCCACCTAAAAACCCAAACCGGCTGCTAGAGCGCAGATGGCGGAAAACTGGCCTGACAGTCCACCACCAACTGTGGCTCGAGCATCTACACAGCTACTGCCATTCTTTGACACGTGCAAAAACGGCCTTCTACTCCAACATCATCTTGGAGGCTAAACACAACCCCAAAATCCTTTTTTCCACCATCCACTACCTCCTCCGTGCCCGCCCTCAGGCCTCCTCAATCTTCATATCAAATGCCAAGTGCGAGGAGGTCATGGACTTCTTTTCATCTAAAATTCACAACATCCGCCAGGCAGCCTCATCCATCTGCCTCTTATCACTCACCACCCTTCCCTCTCTGTCCCCCTCACCC